TTTAGGACAGCAGGCACTGCAACACGGAAAGAGAGAAGTAGAGAGCGGTGGGTGGTGAATGAGTTGAATTTGGCTTTTTTTAGCTTAATGTGGTTGCAGCACAGAAGCCAGGCTCAAACATCAAATTGTGAGACAGACAGAACGTGTCCAAGTGAAATGTTAACGCTGCTTCTCTTTGCGTCTTTCCACGTTTGGCTGTACATCTGAATTTGCAAGAATGTCTAGGATGAAAAGCCTCGGCATGCACATTGTGCACAGGCAAGACTGCAAATAAATTAAATAAAATTTGCACAAAAGCCGAGGAAAGTATCCCAACATCTGCAGTGCAGCCAAGTCTGAGTTTATTTACATGCAGGCCAGGTATAAGAGCGGGAGCTCCAGCCTCCAGGCATCCCCACACAACATCCAGCTGTTTGCCATAACTAATATTTGTATAGTGGGTGTGCTGAGACTATTGTGGGGTATGAAAATCTTTGAAAACTAGGTGAAGCTGGACTGTGTGTTAAGTCTAGAAAAACAGAACAAACAATGTACACCCACAAAAATATCTAAAGATAATAGTGGGAATCCAAACTGCCATAAGCAGGATTTTTGTACTAAGTGTTTATGAAATGATTAGCTAGAGGCAAGCTCTGTGTGGATAACATTTCAACACATCTCAACAGTGTGACAAAGTAAGAAAAGTGAAAAATCTATCTACTCCATAATATCAAATTGTGATTTTATCAATGTATTCTGGTATTAAAACAGATTGTATCTGACAATAGAAATATGGGAATCAATTATTTTCAACAAAAGGAGAAATGAGGGACTGAGACAGAATGATAGGTTAATTGTGATGGAAAAGATGTGAGAAAATCCAAAGAAGTCTGATCAGTTATCAGAGATATTTTAGTAGAAAATCAGAAGTGCCAGCTCCTTTTAACTGGGAGACTTTCTTGTGTGAAGCAGACAGAAAACAGATGGGGCTGTAGTCGAGCAGCTGAATGATAAGCGAATAAAAAACCAACAAGGCAAGCTCTTCCAGTTAAACAATGCTGTGTCAGCTGGCAAAGCGCTAACAAAGAACTGACATGTATGCACACTTTGTCTTCACGAAAGTTTACAGTGAAACGAATGCACGAGTACAAATCTCTGTTTAGTTTTTTGTTTTTTTGTTTTTTGTTAAAAACCCATAGACAGGATGCTTAGCTAAACAGTGATGATTCTCTGTCAGCTCACAGCTGCTATCCCAGACACCACGCATGTCTGTGTGTGTGTGTGTATGTGTGTGTGTGTCCTAATAATATAAAGCATCATGACAAGCGGTACAGACTGGAATCAGTCTTGACACATAGGTCAGCCGTCTGTCAACACCTACACCCCCTTTCGTGTTTTATCGTTGACAGCAACGCGGTAACTGATGCCTTTATGTTATTATGTCTGTGTGCAGAGCCATTTAACTGCAGGGCAAATTAGATAAGTGCTGGCTCTAAACAGGTCAGTGCAATAAAGCCATGTTTCATACGTGAACCCTAATTCCATTACAAACCCTTAGAGTACCTCTTATTTGTAAGCCTCAGCCTTATCTCTGTAAAAGTCAAAGTTACAGCAAAGACTGGGGATGCCTGATCCATGCATGGGCTAGCTAAACCTACTTTTAGTCTTAGGGGATAAAGCAAGACAAGATATGAACCTTCAGTTCATCTTCTAATGATCGCACAGATAAACCTTCCCAGATAAACTTTGCAGACATGAATGAACACAAAGCATAATAATCCCGTACAGGATTAGTGGTGTATTGATCATAATCTCATTATGCTCTCTTTCATTTATTAAAGGAAACAACAACAACAACAACAAAAGCCAAAACATTTGTTTTTCATTTACCATATTTTCTTTCTGTGCAGAGAACTGGGGTGTGTTTAAACCATTATAAGAGTTTAAATGCATGACAGGTAACTATTCAATGTCTTGCTGTGAACTACAGAGAGATAATTGCTTAGTACTTGCTTCACATACTTGGCAGCCCTGGTCATTTATCTTTATTAAGCACCTGGGTGCACAAGCACAAGACTTTTGGTTTCCTTGGCAATAAGCAAGCTAAATCCTGCTCCACTTCTACAGGTGGAAGTGAGTCAACAGCACTGTTGTACAATTCGCCCCCGTACCATCTTTATGCTTTGTGTGAGCTCGATGGTAGAGTAGGAAAATAAAAATGAAGCACAGAGACAACTGACAGTGTCCTGTCACTGACAACAGGCTCGTCTCCACAGGCCAAACACTCACTGGTGAAAGCAAAATAGACTCGAACTGTTTCTTTTTCCCCTCTTTTTCATATGTCAAGAAAAACACAAGTGAGCATCCGGTGCTGCCTGGGCTCGCACTGCACACCTGGGAGCTGTCAATACAGCTGCCGTGCAATGACAAGCTGCACTGGAATCCAAGCTGTCCTGATGTGAGACTGCACATGCTCCGCTCTTCAAGCATAAAACTGCATAAAATACTCTTAACAAGCGACCATTAACTGATTTCAAGGTTTGGCTTTTCAAATAGGATATGTACTTTGTTTATCCCAAAAAGCTGGGAAATTACTTTGTTGCAGCAGCCAAAACATGTAAACCAGCCTTGAAGCAAGTATTAGAAAGGTGGGAAAAGAAAAAGCTTAATTTAACTGAAAAAAGAAAAGTAAAGATCTGAACAAATCTAAATCTAAATATAATACAATCTAACAAAGGACTTCAGGGGTTGTGGTATGAGGCAGGAAAGATTTTCTTATGGGAGCATTTTACTGCTTATTTTTCTTGTAAAGGACTATGATGATGATGAGATGAGAAACACTTTATTTATCTTACATTTGGGAAACAATGATGATAATGATAATAATATGTGAATAATATGTGTAGATGATTTTCTTCCAAGCAAATTTCCTGTATTTTATGAATGTCTTACTCTTTGAGATTTGGAAGTGTTGCTCGGGGTGATGGGGAGGAATTAAAGGTGCCACATTGGGTATTTTCACTCATTTTTAGGACACTTTGCAACCAAATGATTCATTGATGAATTACTAACACATGATTTCATAATGACGCGACACTGCTTTATCACTGTTCAAACTTCTTCTCATTAGCACAGTAATTTCATCTAAAGCCATCCTTTATAAAGATATTTGTGATATTCAGGTGAAAATATGTGCCATTGTGTGGTAGTTTCAAATAAAGAAAGGATCTTTTGAAAGCTACAATACATGGACATCTGGCCAACATCCAAACCTTACACACTACAGACATGGCAGCTTCAGAACCCTATACATTTTGCTGAGTGGATGATGGGTGTGATGCCAGCAAGCTGATACAGCAGGACAAGAGGAACTTCGCCAGCTTATTATATAGAAGCTTTATGAGAAAAGAAAAACAGCAGGGCATGTGATTCAATTAATGAGACCAATAAGAGAAAACCACATTTTTGGCTGTGATACAAAACAAGCTATCAAACATCCTTCATAGTAGGCTGCTAACTGGCGTGACTGTGATGAGATCTGTCGCCGAAACAGACTGTTGGATGCAGCTTTGTAGTGTATCATAATCACACTGTAGTGCAGAAGATCTGAATCCGGTTGACTCAGTCAGCATAAAATGCCAAATCACCATGGTAACAGGGGATGCAACACACTTTGCACAGGGTGATGGAGACGGGAGACTGTTCGCCACCAGCATCATCTCGGATCAATGACAGCTGTTTATAATGCAGTGATTAGAATCCGAGAGAGAGAAATACATGCAGGACTTCGGACATCCCACCTGATTTTTTGTGCACCACAGCCAAAGCTGGGGCTACTACAGGGTCACGTTGAAGATTTTTTTTTTCATTATTATGTAACTGCGTTGAATTACAGTGGTAGCAATTACCAAACGCTGACGAAATCAAAATCCACACGAGACTGCTATTTAAAGCTATGAAATAAATAAATAAATAAAAATGTAAAAATCTGTATATTTTCTGTATTCTGGAGTTTTGCAGCGGACACCATGCCTCAGCGTTAGTCTACAAAGTTGCATAACATTTCACTCACACTTCTCCCTCCCTTTCAAAAATATCTAAAGCTACCCATTAACAGATTTTGAGGATTAAATCCCACACCCCAAAAAACTGTCCTACAAATCCACACATTCTGTGGAAGCTCATTCGCATAAAAACAGGAGCGTATTTTAGACCGTAATCTCCTCACTCCACCCACATCATTGAACGACATCTGGAAAGGGGGACAGAAAAAACATCCAACAAGAAGATCTGAGAGCATGACGGCTGGATGGATGTGCTCTTACCTGTCCGCATGCTGGAGGAGAGTCGTGCTTCTATAAGATATGGTGTTTCACTCTTGGAGCGGAGTCTCCTTATCGGTCTGCGGTCTGTGCTGTTGGCTGGAGTGGTCGCCATCAATTTTCACCCAGTGTCCAGTGGAGACTGCTCTGGCCGACTGGGGGCAGATGCAGAACCACGGCCACTCTCACACGCTGGGAGGTAGCTATTGATGACGGGAAGGAGCGAGAGAGCGAGAGAGGGGGAGAGAGAGAGAGAGAGGCGTTGGTGGGTTATGACATGCATACACTACACAGTGCGAAGGGATATATAAAGCCATGATATGATCATTTCATTATCATTGATCAATTCAGATTTTTTCACATGTAAAAACTGAAACATATAATCTCAAATTAGAAGAGATTAGGACTTTATAGGTTACGATGTATACAATTATATTACGGTTAAATACATTTGTGCTGTATGGAAATAAATATTTTTTTCGAACCAAAATAATTACTTATAATATATCTGAAATAATCTTATTTGATAAAATCTCTATCCGTTTGTCAGAGCTTTTATTTTTTTAAGCATAAAAAGTTGAAACCACTGAATCGTTAAACCTGAGAATGAATGAATCATCTTGAATGAACTGCAATTTCGCCAACGCGCCAGCAGGTGGCGGTCACGCTCGCGAGTACTATTTACGACAGTTTGATACGTTTACGGCTGCTCACGATAATCAAGCGTACAGATAAACAAGAAAACTCGTTGTGGCACTCTGCTCTGATAGAAGGTTTATATCGCAGCGAGGTGAGCACAATAAATGTATTGTAGCAAGTTTATTTAAAACACGCTCATATTTGTAGTATCAACAGATACATGTTCGGATGGACTGGCTACTTCCTGCTTATTTGACAGCGAGCACGATTTGATCCCTGTGGCTACTCCTCCCCCGACTTTAAAACGGGTACATGTCGACGCAGCCGATGTTTGGAGTTTGTTAATGAGTTTGCAACTTGTTAGCTGCAGTTAACAATGTCTTCTTTTCATTAATTCATCGGCTGAAACGCTTCTTTGGGTTATTTTTGGAAGAAACGCGCGACAAAGAGCCGCAGCAGTAAGTAGTTGTAACGTGTACTCGGATTGTGCAGAATCTTTATAGCCTTTAACGCCTAGATTAGCTTAAGCACCTTTTGACATGTTTTTTAACCTTAGGCTTGACATCTCGGTAAACGTAATAGGTAGTTTATTCAGGTTAATGGGCACTCACTTTTGTCATTTTCTGTTATTTTCCGTTGGCCTCAAAGTAGGAAGAACTGGCAACCTTCTTTGGGTTTAATACGCGACATTCGCGTGTCTTATCGGGGCCTAAAAAGGCAGGCTATCTGAGTTACGTTGCAGCTGTATTCATTTACGTGCCTTTTTTGTATTTATATTTCACTGGCATATAAAGCAAAACAGGCACTGAATTTGTTTTTATTGTCCTTTCGGAAGCGCCATTTGTGTCTTGTGGCGACTGTCAGATAAATACAAGTAAAGCAAAACAATAAGTGCTGCAGCAAAGTGAGCGACTCTCATATCAACTGGATTTGTTCATCAGTTATGCTACAAGGTCTAAAAGACCTTCCTCCTGATGGCAGTATGATGTATTTATCATGTGTTGTGACACATCACAGAGGATGTCTCACCCTGTCACACCACCCAGGACTCCCAAAGCTGCATCATACTGTTTTGTTGCTGACCTGTAATCCATGTTTACGTGGATTACACCACTTAACCACCAGCTACACATACACTTCCACTCACTGATGTGCTATGATTTAGATCAAAACCTCTTTTATACTGTGCTTAAACGGTGACTCTTACACTGTCCCTTCAAACATCTTGTGTGAGCATGCGTGAGGTTGCACATTGGATTTTCAGCCTTTTTCTATCTTTATCTGGTCTTCCAGTGACAATGCTTCTCCGAAATCGAGCTGTCGTTGCTCTTGGGCTTCGAATGTGCTCCTCTCATGTGACCAAAGGACCGCTGGCTGATGCAGTGAAACACAGCTCAGGTAAAATGAACACTTGTGCATAGTACTACATAGTACAATGTTTGAGTTACATCATTCTGTGACATATAGAACCCGAGTAAGAAGTCAGTTCATGAAAAGCAAACAACTAAATCCTGATGCGCTTAATTAAGAAGTAGGAAGTGCATCACGGTAACTGAAAAGAAGACAGGCTGCTTGATTCTATCGAAATTAAAATGATTAAGTTTTTTCTTAACTCATCTGGGTATCATCATTATGTCTGAAGGGTTTCAACGCTTGCAATTGTGCTTTCTGCTCTGATGTAAAAGTAGTTTTTATTATATTTTCCTAGACATGTCTGAATTCCGTGAGGTGTTTTCCAAAGCCAAGCACATAGCCATCATAACAGGAGCTGGTGTAAGCGCAGAGAGCGGAGTACCAACCTTTCGTGGAAAGAATGAGAAGTGGAGGAAGTGGCTGTCTCAGGTAACTCATAAAGAAGCAGCACACACTTTTACATGGATGCATTTTATTTTTCTTTTCTTTTCTTATTTCATTTTTATTTTATTTTTTAGGTTGTATTTGTGTTTTCCCTTTCAGTTAAATATGCCTTTGGATTGTGCATTTTGATGGCAGCCTTCTGACCTTTAAAGTCTGTGCTTAAAACACAACCATGTGGATCTGTCCTCAGGACCTTGCAACGCCAGAGGCCTTCTCTCGCGACCCGTCTCGAGTCTGGGAGTTCTACCATTACAGAAGGGAGCTTGTGATGAACAAGAAGCCCAGCGCTGTCCATTTGGCTTTAGCAGAATGCGAGGCTCGGCTGAAGAAGCAGGGACGCTCTGTGGTCATCATCACTCAGTGCATAGATGACCTGCACCGTCAGGCTGGGTCCAAACATGTGCTCAACGTTCACGGTGAGGAGCAGAGCAAGTGACAACAGATACAAAATGCAAATAGCAGCTGTTTAATTTCATTACGTGCAGGATTATGTAAAAACTACCAGGAGGAATTATATGAAACTTGGTTGCAAGCTGGAGCATGACAGCATGCCTTGGCAGAGAACTGCACTGTCAGAATGGCCTTGCTGTTTTTGTGACTCACTACCTCCATGTCTAGTTTTGTGTGCTAATATTAAAAGAATTTCACTCTATAGGTATCTTCAGTTTCACACTCAGTTTTAAGTTCTGAAATTGAACAACTTTTCCAGTTTGTGTTAACAATGTACAGTCATCCTAAAACAACTTGTGTAGATATTAGTGGAAACTTTGACAGCGCTGTTGTGGTTTCGCTGGGATATGGAAAAATCTGATTCATAGTGGTTGGTCTCTCAAGCCCACAGATTTAGTCAGTAATTTAATGTCAGTGGAGAAAAGTCCAAGAAGTGTCCTGCTCAAGTGCTAAGTTGGCCTTTTAGAGGAACATTTTGACTGGCTTCTCTATTTTCATACTGTTTTGAGAGTGGCCAGAGTGCTAAAACGTTTGACTCACCTGCTAAAATCTTTCTTCTGTCTGTTCCCACGAGATGTTTTCTGTGATCCCAGCACTCTAATGTGCAACAGCTGTGTTTTCTGTGTGTAACTGCAGGCAGTCTGATGGAGACGCGCTGTATGAGTTGCGGTCATGTGTCAGTGAACAAGAGAAGCCCCATATGTGCTCCCTTAAAAAACAAAGGGTGAGTAACAGAACCTTTGAAATACCAACTCTTACATTGATCAACATAAACCTCCAGCATGGGTGGATCACTCTTTAACCCACAGTCTTTGCTGTATTAATGTGCAGTGACCCTGGCCCAGATGTTCCTGATGCCCAGATTCCTGTGGATAAGCTGCCAAGGTGGGATTACTTTCATGCCATATTAATAACACTGACAGACAGATTTGCTAAGCTTTTTGTTTTGCATATACTGTAGTCGGTCAGACGCAAAATTAGTTTCCTCAAATTCTGTATTCTGCACCAGTCTAATAAGCAAACTTATTCTAATTGCATATGATTATGCAAACACTAAGCAATTGTCAGCTTGGCTGTTTATGCACTGTGTGACGTTTACATATTTTTTTGTGTAATTCTGTGTGCCTCACCGGGAAATCTTTCTCCCCTTTCGAAAAGCATGTGCTTGTTAGAAAGGAAACAAATATCAAAAACATGGAATCTTTTTAATAAGAAAACACAATAGCTACGAAAATGCACACTTAAGGGAAGCATGCCATCTGCATTATTGTGAAGGTTTAGGTTACCCATCATCTCCACCCACCTCCGGTGACCCTGTTGTCTCTTTGAGCTGCTGCAGGCCTGCAGGTTTTTCCTGCTGAATGAGTTTAAACTCAACTCCAATGTTCCTGTTAGTCAGGTCAGTTCTTCCACTGGGGGGCAGCAGTGCGCTATAAATACTTCAAATCCAGTTTTGCTTATAGGTGTCACTGAAAATATGGCTGAAAAGTTGCACATTGACATCTCCTGAGAAAACGGCTTATTCTTAGATTTTATCATCTTTAATTATCAAGCATTTGGCTTTTCTGGCCACATCTTTGTCAGTGTGGATAGAATTTGAAAAAGTATGAGACCATTAACATGAGGACTTTATACTGGAGGAAATGAGGTTTTATACTGCTCTTTGTAGGTGTGAAGAAAGAGAGTGTAATGGTCTTCTGAGACCCAATGTGGTGTTTTTTGGGGAGACGCTGGACTCTCACATTCTTACCAAGGTGGAAAAAGAAATTGAAACCTGTGATCTTTGTCTCGTGGTGAGTCATTTTAATTTCAATATGCACGTGTGATATATACTGTATTCTTCCTGTGTAGTATTGTCATGTAACACAATATTTGCTAAGAAATTACTCGACCTGTGTTTTTCCCATATAAGTTGCCACTGGAGGTCATTGTTGATTGTTGTTTTCCTATAGGTGGGAGCATCTTCTATTGTTTACCCAGCAGCCATGTTTGGCCCTCGTATTGCATCCAGAGGTGTTCCAGTGGCGGAGTTTAATATACATACAACACCGAAATCAGAATATTTCATGTAAGTCAGTCAAATAACACAGTCCTCATTAAATAAGATGAAGTTAGACCACCTACACGCCCTTCAGACGTACAATTCTCACCTTCAATGTGTTTCTCTGTGTGTGTGCGCGTGTGTGTGTGTGTGTGTGTGGCACAGGTACCATTTCCAGGGTCCATGTGGAACTACACTGCCTCAAGCTTTGGCACAACATGAGTCAGAGGTTTTTTAAAAAAAACACCAGGCTGACTTTTTCAACATCAGTTAGATTCAAAAAAACAAAATAAAACCTACAAGCCAGTGCAGCCCAGACATTTCTTAGCAATACTCCAAATCTCTTTAAATCATTGTAGCTGTTAATGTGCTTTAAGGTATTTTGTAAATCATTAAGCTTCTTGACAATTTTTGAGATGAATTTCTTAATACTTGAAAATGTAGCTCACTAACTGGAATCAGATCATGATTTTTTTATGTTACATGATATCGTGTGAACTATGCAGCTTAAAAAGGAAAGGGAGAACATGCATGTAAAAATCAAAACAAAAGTCAGACATCAAAAGGTATTCTTTCATAATGGATGTTAATGAGAAGATCATTAAATGTTAGCACTGTTGTTCTCTAAAATGAAGCTGTAGATCAACATATTACTTCTGGTAGAGTATTCCACTTTTCTCTTTCTACCGCATGAAGAGATGTACAAATCATAATATAATCTAGTGCCTTTTCAGACTGTTTACACAACCTTGACCAAATGCTTGCTTTAAGTTTCAAGTACAAATCTTTCAATGTTACAGAGATTTATTCCAGTGTACAGAGTTTGCTGTTGACCAAGAACAGAGAGGAAGTGAAAAATTCAGGTTATGCCTGTCATTTACTCTCTATGCGGGTAATTGTGTTTATTATGACATGGGTCTTGTTATGTTACATGGATTATCCATCATGCATTTGATATTTTTTTTTTATATACTTCTCAGTGTCTGTATTACAAAATGATGTGTTTCATCTCTTGGTGGGACGTGTCTAAAGAACAAAAACATCTTCTTTGTCCAAAACGATACGCACAATGTGTCATGATGTATTTCAGTAAGACTGCCAATACCTTTATTAAAAAACTCAATACAATAAAACAAAATTGATATTTGGTGAGAGCTTATTGTGTTGATTTTAAAAAGTCATAAATGTCTTTGGTGAATGGTAAATGGGCTGGTTGTTGTATACCTGTTTCTACTCCACTTCAGCAATGTAAAGCCTTGGTAGGTTACAGTACCGGGCATAACGAACCACTTGGCAAAGGAAAGGAAAAAAGAATCTTTTGGCACTTTGCTACTGTTGCAAAAACAGGTTTGGGGCTGCATTTCAGTCAGTGGTGTTGAAGATATTGTCAAAAATGATGAAACTAGGAACACAGAAAAATACCATTTGTATCCATTTTCCTAG